TGTCCTCAAGGACGAGAATTCGGGTTCTCAAACTGTTTTTCTCTAAAAATAGAACTAAAAAATTCGCGACAAGTCCACCTGGATTATGCGGCAATGCTTTCCTTGGAACTTTTGTTCGAATTGTTCAGAAAACTTTTTATCTTTTGTCCCTTAGCTTTTTTTTAATTAACCACAGTGTACAGTACTTCACTTGAGTGTATCACACGAATCCCTTGCAATTTTGAAATACTGTACTGTAATGTTTATATTCTTTATACCGTAATCAATTCTTGTGCGATTATTTTTGAAAATAATAATTGACCGCATCGTCACTGGGAATCGACCGAGACTTTCCATATATGCTGTATTTGACATGAAAATTGGCAGCATGCGTGTCTATTTTAATTTTGAAGTTTTTTTTCTTTTAATGACGAGTAAAAACCTTCTCGTTTCAGTAGGGTTGAATTACGTGAAATCACTCGTGCGAAATGGCTCAAGAAAGTCGGGGTTACGTGAATTCAGCTCAGTTGCACGAACAGCATTATCGACAGGTGTTGGAAGAAGTGCCAGCAGTTCCACCAAAAACCAGGGACCGAGAAGACCTGCTCAATGGCAACAAAACGACTCGAGTCATGTCAAGGATCCTCAGCAGCAGCAGCAGCAACAACAACAACCCCCGAGATGTCGCAGCTCAGCAAACTCCCCAGAGTCAAGCAGCGCCCTCTCTGCCGCCGCGACCAAACAAACGCAACTTGTTCCTAGTGCAAAAGTTCCAGATGGATGCACAGCGGCCGGAGGACGTGGCCCAGGTTGCCGCCGGTGCCCCGGGTTGTTCCGGGGTACCATCATCGCAACGAGCAGCACCTGTGCGCATCCCGGCGAGGGTTGCCCATCACCATCAGCAGCAGCAGCAGGTGCAGAAAGGAACGACCGGGTTTCCCGCGGGTTCTGAAGAAAACGTGACCGTGTTGGGCAAGAAGGCGGTTTTGGTGGGCGATGCGGGGTTCGACGCGGAAGATATTCCAGGGGTGAGTGACGCCCACTTATTTTTATTTTTCTTCTTCTTCTTTCTAGTCATGGCATCGACCCCCTATGAGCCAATCAATTCGGAGTCTTTTTCCTTGGCATTGCCTTGTTCAGCAGTTTATTTTTCTCCGCCGTTCCCTCTTCACGTTTTTCAGTCGGAATTTCGAAGCTTTTTTTTTCTACCCCCAGCGAAAATAAGTAGATACATATTATGAAACTGCATACAATCCCTGTATCAATCAACATATTTGCGTAGGTTGTACCGAGTCGCACAATGTATACGTCGCTTAATTTTCGGAAAATTTTCGTGAAGAGCAGCCTAAATTAAATATACAAGAGTGTCTCGTATATATGGGCCGTATCGAAGTCTTACATTCGAGGTTTGTCCCAGTTTGACGGGTCCTGTGATATATTCAGAGTTTGTATGATAATAAAAAAGATATGTTCGTAAAAAAATATCATGACATGGCCGATGATGTTCTAAGGTTCTGGATTTTTTTTCTGCTTTTTAACAAGTTTTTGAATGTACTGCATGATGATGGTCAGCGAAACATTTCCAGGGACAGCCCGAGTTCTCCACCCGTGTCAATATAGGGTACATAAATTGTGTCAGGCTAGCTGAACAAAAATTGAATTATTTGCGTTAACCAATATCCTCTCTGAAATTTAGACGATTGGTTAAAACATGAGCAAATTTCAATTTTTTCTGGCTAGCCTGGCAATATTTTAGCACCCTATAAAATGTGTGTAGAAATAATATGGCTTTAATTGGGAAGCTTATACTTATCATGATGCAAAACAAGCGAAAAAATGCAAAAATCCGAAAAATCCTAGAATTATTTTTTCTTTAGCATCTTGTCGATTTATTAAATGGCGGCTCCTGAGTGGCTGACTGCTGAGTGCTACGACTGAGAAATTGTGAGAAAAAAGGGGTTCAACTTCAAACAATATTATGACCAACAATTGCGGTTCAAAAATACTGTATTATACAGCAGCTCAACGGAAGAAACATTGATTATTAGAGAAGCATCCTGAAATTTCCATGGTCTTCTTCTCGTTCGACTTAAAAAAGAACATATACTACAGGGATCAAATTTAGATACTGTTTTTTCCTTTTTGTGGAAGTTTCCAGGCGCAAATACAGAAATAGCAGAAAAATGAGGAGTATTTTCCAATGGTGCAGCTGGCCCGTTATTATTTTTTATTTGGCCGCTCTTCTTGGAAGGAATCTCTCTTCGACTGCAAATAATCATCCTTGACTGATGAACAACAAAAATCAAAATACAACTATACGAACCAGCTTTATTTACTTTTTTTAAGGAAACAAACACAAAAATAAGGCATTATTATTGATTTGCCGTTACTTGGGCGAATCATTTTTTCTCGGAAATTTTTTTAAGAGAACAAGAAACAATTAAGTTATCTATAAATATTGAAAAAATTGTAAATGAAAGAGTTTGCACGAAATGCAAACCGATCTCATAAGTGTTCCCAGCATATGAGAACCCCAGAATTCTCACTTATTTAAGCATGTGCGTTCGTTTTCAAAGTCTCAAAAAGTATGTATAATCTTCAATTACAGCATTCGTAATACTGTACTTGACTGGAAGTCTTGCTGCATTTTCGCGTATCGTCAAACTGAATTTTTGCGAAATTCTTTTGCGGCGATTCCAAATTCATCATTACTTTGAGTAGGGTATACGCGAGAAGTTAATCCCAGAAGATAAAAAGAAAAGTCAAACTCAAGTTCAAAGATTTTTTCATTGATATCTATTCGCAGTATTTTAAGCAAAGTTTCAATAATTTCGGTAATATTTTCAAGCTTTTTGGCATTTAATTGAAACAAAAAAAGAATTCTGGTGCCTGGAGAAAGAAATCAACATCGACTGGAAGAAATTAACATTAAATTCGCAACATACAGTATATTTTTCACGATAGTTCAAGGTTATTTGAAGGCTCATGTAACGAATTTTTACCTGTCTCCAAGACGTTAGTTTTATCAAAATTTCTCCTTTATGAAATTCACTCTTCATCTCGTTACAGCCATAAACGGAATTCCATGGATGATCCCAAATAACTATTTCTGCTTACGCGTCCGGGAAGCCGATGAAAAACTCTGCTGACACCTTAAAAATTGTTGATTTCTCAGAAGGAATAATTTCTTCGGGACGACAGACCATCTACCCTGGAAAGCTCAAAACGGAAGAAAACGGGCGACAGCCCAGAAATACAAATGTCTCCTTTTATTGACAGTCCGAGACTTGGCGATGTCGACCCACGTCGACTTTATTGTGCGCACTATATACATACACGGTTAACACGGCAGGATGACGTTGAATCCTTCCCCTTATTGCAGATCTTATTGCACAGTGACGCGAAATTTTCCCCGAAAATTCAATTTATGTTTGAAGAATGTGGGGGAAAATCTACATGAGATTAGTTATATATATGGTGAATGCGAAATTTAGAGAAGGTATAGATACCAGAGATTCAGCTGCATCTCAATATCAAACGATTTGAGAAATCACGTGTTTTTAAGGCAGAATACCTAAAGCCACTCATTGTGGACCAGGGTTTAAATTTTAATTGTTTAAAGTCGATACGATAAAAGTGTACAAAGGTTGTCCCAGTCATGCCTGGCTTTGGACGACTTACTTGGACCTATTCGGCAATGATAAAACCTTTTTTTTTTTTTCTGGACTCCGGCGTCATGGTCAAGTTTTGACCTTCATATTTTCCTTTTGCCTTTTTCTAGATATCTAGATGAGAAAAAATGGAAAAATAGAAAAGAATACACTATAATTCAGCTTTTCGTTCACAGTTCTTGACCCTCACATCCGTGATCTACTTTAACAACGATTGCAGCTTATAAGGTGTTTTTTTATAGAGTAAGTTACTGTAACCCAATACTATTTTGTCCGACCATATACAGGGGAAACGCTCGGAATTTCCATTCATGACCCCGTTTTCTATTTATCGTCATCACTGGCAGTTGTCTTATTGTAAACTGTGAAGGTTTTATAATTTTGTTTTCTTTGCCTGGGGGTTCGAAAGCATGGAACCCGAAAGAAACCCTTGGAGGGGCCGAAGAAGACATCGACTGTGTACGCGGGATTACAACAGCAAATCGCTGCACTGTTCGAAAGGCGTGTCAGCGTCTGTGCCGTGCGCAGAGCGACATCTATCCCGTGAATAATTCATAGAATAACTTTCTTTAAATGATCGTTCGACCAAGTGCCGTTCTTCCAGCCGGGCCTCAAACTGAAGATAAGATATCCAATACGGCTTCGAAGGATATTCTTGTTTTGAAGCAGGTATAGACCTTTTTTTTTTAAGTTTTTATTTCACGCCTATGCTGTTGAGTATATTCTAGTCCAGTGTTCCCCAACCTTTTAGAGCCCGTGGACCAGCAAATCTCCATGAAAGTTTTTGTGGACTGGCATATTTCCTAAAAATTTCATAAAATGTTTACAGACTCAAAAGTTTTGCTTGGAACTTTGAAGACTTTATGGCAGGCATTTAGAGAGTTCAAAAATTATGAACCAATCAAGAACAGGTATATAGTGGAATGTCTTCAAAAAAATTAGAAAGGTAGGTGGGAAAAAAGGTTTCTCAGAATGAAAAAATTTAAATAATTTGTTTCAGCAGGTGTAATTTGTCTTAGTATTATTAAGATGAGGAAACCCAAATTTTGATTTTTTCATCAGATAATATACACTGCTATTGTCTTTCCGATACTTCAGAAAAAATAACAGACTTCATTGCTAATTTCGTCGTCTATACATTATGCAGCAGAAAATTTCCCGCGGACCGGCAAAAAACTTTGCGGACCACAGGTTGGGGAACATTTTAACACGTTTTTATTAACTTGCTTTCTTGTCTGTTTGTT